ACCCACCAAAAAAAAAAAAAAAAAAAAAAAAAGACTGTCATTTGTTGAGTGCACACACAATAAATCATATAACTATAAGATTACCAGGGCATCACTAATGATTTAAAAAAATAACATAATCAGTGCTTTCAGACAGCTGGGCCTTTACTTTTTCTAAAATCAGTAACACTACACTGTCAAACAATATACATAAAAGCAGATATAAAATGCGAGACTCATATTTTGTATCAATCCATTCTGTAAGACAAAAACCTCTCCAAAAAGAAAGATTATCATTAGTTTAATCCATACACATATTTATTATATGTGTTGTGTAGCGCTAGGTATTAGCACACAAAAGTAAAACAGTTTCTGTCTTCAAGAAGTTCAGAGTCAAGAACATTCAAAACAGAAGAAACAGAATAAAACTCATCTGTGGCAAAGATACGTAGTAACTTATAATTATCTACCTTTTTCATGTTGGCTCCAAGTTTCGGGTAGGGAGGTTTATTAACTTTACTCCAGTCAACAGGAACTTTAATCCGTTCATATAACTGTAAGATTACCAGGGCATCTTGCAGGTCACTAATGATTTAAAAAATAACATAATCAGTGTTTTCAGACAGCTGGGCCTTTACTTTTTTAAAATCAATAACACTACACTGTCAAACAACATGCAGAAAAGCAGATATAAAATGCGAGACTCATATTTTGTATCAATCCATTCTTAAAATAGAGCTAAGACCATCCTATTCACTTAAAAATATTTATTGAGGGGCCAGCAGGTGGAGTGGTAGTTAAGGCTCTGGACTCTGACATGGCGAACAGCAGTTCGAGTCCTGGACCTGGCAGCTTTTTCTCTCTCTTTCTCTTCCTCACACATATGCCCTATAGCAAATAATATTAATAATAACAATAATAATAATAATGGGACCAACAGTTAGTGTAATGGCTATGTCGCTGGACTCCCATGTAGTTGACCATGGTTCGTGTCCTGAACCTGGTGGCTTAAAACTCATACCAGGTGCGTGTGCGTGCATGCCCAAGATCGCGAGAGGAGAATGGAGGAGAAGGGATTGTGGTGTAGTCATCTCTCCTGGGGGGTGAATTCTCACTTTCTGTCTCTGTCTGTCTCTGGCTCTCCAGCATACGCACGTGCCCTATAGCAAAAAATATCTCTTAAAAAATTAATTAAATAACGAATTCTTTTTTTTTTAAGTATTTATTGACAGCTCATTATGAGCAAGCACTATTCTAGAGGCTGGACACATAGGACAAAAGTCTCTGACCTTATGCAAGAGTCAGAGGGATAGACAATAAATCATTATGTGTATATAAATAGACACTGTGATATGGGGGTATACATTCTATGAAGAAAAATGGAGCTAGGGTTTGAGGTTAGAGAACGAGAGGTGGTAGACAGAAAAGACTCTCAGAATCAGCAACGGGAATATAGTAAGGATGGGAACCATTTCATGTGGGCAAAGAACATTCTAGGCTAAGAACAGAAAGCCAAAGGCCCTGCAGTGCCAAGGATGGTCTGTATCTATTTCCGAGGGCACTATAACACGTATACCTTCTATCACTAACACCTCATACTCTTTTGTATATACTCACACACCACATAACAACCTTTTGATCAGTGACAGACCACATCTATGATAGTGGTCCCAAAAGATTATAAGGCAGTTGAAAAATTCCAAAATCACTGGGGCCAGCAGGTGGCATGGTGGTTAAGGTGCTGGACTCCCACATGACTCACTGTGATTCGAGTCCCAGACTTGGTGGTTTGCTTTCTCACGTTCCCATTCTTTCTCTCTCTGGTCAAACTAATAGTCATAATAATTACAATGACAAACATTCTTATCACAAAGTGACATTGTGGCTGCCACAACATCATAATGGAATGTATTACTCTGATGTTTGTGCTCGGCTGGTGTAAACCAACCTACTGTTTTGCCAGTCGCATAAAGCACAGCACATAGAATTATGTACAGTACATAATACTTGATAAGACTAATGAACGACTATGTTACTGATTAATGGAGTTACCATACTATGCTATTTACCGTTACTGCGGAGTTTACTGTAAAATGCTGTACCAGGTCATGCCAGCAGCAGCCTCACACAGCTCATGCTTACTTCATTTCGTGATTGTAGCCTTTTCTCTCGTGCTTGATTTAATCTCATGTTGTTGTTTGGTTCATGGCCCTTCCGGTGGGCTGAGACGTAGAGGTGGAAGATGGTGATACTGATTATTCTCACCCTGGCTAAGCCTAGGCTGATGTGTGTGTTTTTATATTAGATTTTAATAAAAAGTTTCAAAATATATAAAAAAATTGGAAAATAGAAAAAAGCTTCTAAAGTGTGGATATAAAGAGGGGGACCAGCAGTTAGCGTAATGGCTATGTCGCTGGACTCCCATGTGGTCGACCATGGTTCGTGTCCTGAACCCGGTGGCTTAAAACTCACACCGGGCGCGTGTGCGTGCGTGCCCAAGATCCTGAGAGGAGAATGGAGGAGAAGGGATTGCGGTGTGACCATCCCCCCTGGGGGGTGATTTCTCGCTTTCTGTCTCTATGTCTCTCTCTGTCTGTCTGGCGAGCGCACACGCCCTATAGCGAAAACCTCTCCAAAAAAAAATCCAATATAATCAGCAACGAGTACTTAGAAAAGTTTTCAAGTGGTCATTATTTGGTAAGCATCCATTCGCGATGCTAATGTTCATAAGTGTTCACAGTAGGAGTAGGAAGACTTACGCATAGAGATGGTTTACATGGGGATTGACACCAAGAGAGTTCATCCAGTTACGGAAGGTTCTTTCTTCACGAGTTTCTCCTATTAAATATTCAAAAAAAATGATTTAGTCATGAAACACTTTGTACATGGGTATATAGTATCGTCCCATGTATTAGATTATGTTATCGGTTCTACTTGGATCTAGTGGTTTTGTCCAATATGAATGTCTAAGCATTCTCTCTAAATACATTCTCGATATGTGGTTAACTGTGTAATTTGTTGAACTTATTTTGGATTAAGTCATGTTCCTTTGTTTTTCCTCGACCCATTTTCACATATCAAACTACACATGATTACTACTTTTACTAGCCTATGTGAAAGCAATGAGTGTCTTGAAACTTAAAGAGCATCAAACTCACAATTTTTATAGTAACGCCAGTGGACATCCAAAGAACTACTATTTGCATTTGTAAATGCAAAGTATTTACTGTACTTTATTTTATGTGCATATTGGGTTATTGGAAGAGTCATGATGCATTTCTGCACAGAAAAAAATACATCATTGGACCAGCAGATGGTATAATGGTTATACCACTGGACTCCCATGTAGTCAACCATGGTTCAAGTCCTGGACCTGGCGGCTTATAACTCATGCTGGGTGCGTGTGTGTGCATGCCCAAGATTCGAGAGGAGAATGGAGAAGGGATTGTGGTGTGGCCATCCTTCCCTGGGGGAGGTGATTTCTCGCTTTCTGTCTGTCTCACTGGTGAATGCATGCGCCCTATAGAAAAAAAAAATCTCTCTGCATGCGCCCTATAGAAAAAAAAATCTCTCTTAAGAAAAAAAAATTAAAAAAAGAAAAGAAAAAAATACATCATGACTTTTTCGGCAACCCAATATAATCTGGAGAAAGTAAGCTCCACCTTTTCCAGATTTAAACAGATAATTACCTATTAGGTTGGCCACACCCTTTTTATGCTTTGTGCTGGTGCGCCATTCCAAAACCTATTCTCGTTGTTTACATGCATTCTTGTGTCTGTTAATCATTTTCCCCTGAGTCCCTTTCACTCCCCTGTTCCTCTCTCCTCCCCCCTGCTCTGCGCAGTCTCTGGTACCTGCCCTTGTCCTCTCTACTCCTGTGCCATCAAGTCTTTCAGTTGCCTCCATAGAGAGCTGACACTTGGTATGAGGACATAGAGTGTTTGTCTCTCATAGCCTGGCTTAGTTCACTGATCATGATATCTTCTAGATTTATCCACTTCGTATCAAATAATGAGATCTCATTATTCTTTATAGCTGAGAAGTGTGTGTGGGTCTCATTTTCTTAATCTAGTCATCAATTGTTGCCACTTGGGTAGACTCCATATCTTAGCTCTTGTGAATAATGCTGCAATAAACATGGATGTGCCAATGTCAAACAAACAAACAAACAAACAAACAAAAATACCCAATAAATAATTACCAACCATTATCATTTGCTTTTGAGGAAGTTAAGGGTGAAAGGAGCTGAGGCTAGTTCAAGTTACTCGGATTATAGAAGAATGAGATACAAGTACTATATACTTACAGGTCTCATTGAAAAATATGCACATTTTTCTGGTTAGAGATCTACAGAGTGGTCTCACCCTGAATAGTAAAAGAGAACTAATTGAAGCGGCCTAAAGTTAGCCTAGACTACCGTACCTTATGTTTACTTGCATCATCCCTTTCTATCAACGGCCAAATTTACTCCACACCTGCAGCTCCTTCTAACAGATAATTGTTAAAGGACAATGGATAAGGAATTTTTTTTTTTTGAAGAGGTTTTTGCTATAGGGCACGTGTACTAGCCAGACAGAGAGATAGAAAGCGAGAAATCACCTCCCAGGGGGGATGGCCATGCCGCAATCCCTTCTCCTCCATTCTCCTCTCGGGATCTTGGGGACGCACGCACACACGCTCAGCGTGAGTTTAAGCCACTGGGTTTAAGCCACCGAGTTAAGGCCACTGGGTTTAAGCCACCGGGTCCGGGACTTGAACCACGGTCGACTATATGGGAGTCCAGCAACATAGCCATTAAGCTAACTGCTGGTCCCGACAATGGATAAAGACTTTTGAAGTCAAGATTTTGAAACTACTGTGGCCTGTGAACCTCTTTATAGTCCCACAAACTAAGATCTGAGAAAGTTTTCATTACCTTCTAACAGAGTCCAGTCAATATCCTGGTTCTCTGGCTTCGTGAGGGCTGGGTACTTATTAAACAGGTTAGCCACAAAGGCCAAGTTCAGTTTGGGGTTTCCACTGACGACGTCAGCAGGGGTAACAAACTGTCTGCAACCTAATTTATCTGCTTGTTGAAGCATACTCTCAGCTCTCTTTAAGTCATCTGTTTCCTGTTGAAGTAAAATAAGAAGTCATTTTTAAAAGGCCATACTAAAAATACAAATTTTCCCTAC